AGCTGCCCAGTTCAACAACAGCCTTATCCACGGAACAACCCCTCTGGAGCAGGAAGGGGTTAAGTGCCTTGCTTAAGGGCACCTCAATGGTGGTTTGTCTTCCCCCAGTCTAATTTATCTTGCCTGTCCACGGATGGACCCGGGAACCTTTTGGTCAAAAGTTCACATGAGTAACCTATGGGTCTTTTCTCTCTTTTAGGGTACGGTTGTATGCATATGTCAGTCTGTCTTTGGAAGCGGAAGGTAAAAAGAAAAGTAACATTTGCCTCAGGCTCCCTGTGGTGTGACCACTGCACCTTCCTTCTATAAAGGAATCTTATCCATACATTAAAGTGGATGGGCCCCTCCCCCTCCCTGCAACAGTGCTGCGTATTTCACTGCCGTCCCGGAGGATTCTGAGCTGTTACGGGTGGAAATGAAAATAGTGTCTTCTCTTTGACTTGACTCAAACCCATTTGGGGATTAAATCTGAGAAATGCACTCACCTTTCTTTATTTCCCCCTCCCAGAAAGGGAAATATATGAGTGACTAGATAATGGTTGGGGAGAGATTACACTAGAGGAAAATGTCAGTGGAACTAGACCACGCTGTCATTAGAGGGAAATGTGACAGCATGTGCATCAGCAGCAGAAATGAAGAAATATATAAATAAAACCAAAACTAAAACTCCTGGGCTCCTTTTCAAGTGTGTGGCTGATGCTGCTTTTAATTAAGTGCAGGAAGATGAGTAATTTAGTGAAGCTCCCAGGAAGCGTTCAAAAAGCGTATGTCGGTTTGTGGAAAGATGTGAGAATAAACGCATATGTAAACATGTTCGGTAAAAAACTAAATTGAGTCAATTATTTGGTGTAACAGAAAAATCACATTAGAGAGTCAGTATCTCCTGTTGTTTCCTGGATTCATCTCTAAAAGTTTCATCATAACTCACCTGGAATCAAAGATATCAAATCACAAAGAGGAATTAAATGTGTTTTATCCTATCTTTTCTTGTTGTTCTCATCCTTTGTGGGTTTTCTAACAGTGATCTGTCTCTATTTTTTCCTGTATATTACACATCTGTCAAACGGCACAGTACATGGTGTTTAAAGAAATTCTCATACAGTACATTGCCTCTATTCTATAATGGTAGTACTGCTTTAAACACAATGTAAAAACATTATCATTTTAATAGCAGTGTCTTAAAACCATTACAGATGATTATAATGCTAACACCAATCTCAGCTTTAACCTCTTAACTCCAGTACTCAGTGTGCAGATCATCCGAAGAGCTGCACACGCCACTTCGCAAACACACACTCATATTTATAGAAATGCTATTCGTACTGTGCACTATGCAGGTACCAGTCAGTGTGACCAATCAACAGGACTTTTTGGGGCCTTAATTATTCCACCACATTAAAGGTCTCTGCAGTGTGTCCGCAACAATTCAATATCATTTGTAAAAATATGCAGCTACAGATTTGTATTTCCAGCACATATAAATATAGCTGCATCCTTCATACTGTCTCCCGAACTGTGCAGTAGTGGGAAATGTAACCAAGTATCTTCACTCGACTACTGTTTATTCTACTTTATTCTTAAACTTAACTGCAATTAAAAGGCTTTTTTAAAAAGTTTTTTTTGTCTCTATATTTCTCAAATGTTGGTGAAAACGACTGATTTAATAATGCCTGTTCTGGTTGCAGCTCTCCTCCTGGTACTGTAAGAGTGACCTGCAATAAATGAGCTGCAGTGAGTAAAGACCAGCTGCAAGACGCGGTCCACAAACTCCTGAAGCTGGGTCACTGCTGCTGCACAAAGAGTTGTTCACCTGTTTATTCAAAGTTGGATGAATCTCGGCTCGGTACGCAGAACCCCAAACCGGAGCTGCCGTCGTGAACGCTCACGTTGATGTGTCCAAGCCACCGCTGCTACAACCGCTGCTGTTCGCCTGTTTATTAATATTGAACGCTGCACTTCGTTAGACATCTAACAATACACACGCTAAGTGTGAAGCCGATAAGATGAACGGTTCTCAAGGTATATGAGATTTCTGGAATTATTAGATTGAGGATGCATTGCTGAAGATTAAACGGGCCAACACTACATTATGTAGTTAAATTCAGCTTCAGCTCAACCAGGTACAACAGTAAAAAGATCCACATCAGTGCATCCATAATGATGATCAAATATAAATCATATTCATATAACAGCCCTTCCTGCATACTAATGCTGTTTTTAATAATGTGCTTTACTTAAGTAACATTTTGATTGATGGACTTCATTTACCGAGGAGTATTTTTACCTTGTTGCATTGCTACTTTTACTTAAGTTAAAGATCTGAATACTTAAAGGTGAGTCATGTGTTTGACCACCTATGAGTCATCAATCAATCACGTTTATTGGCTTATTATACAGACCAGTGGGTAATGGTCATGCATAATGAAACAAGGGCCGCTTTGAGTCAGTGAGAGACCAAGGGACAGGATCGGTCTGGTTTCTCTCCAAACAAGGTAAAAGGGCATGTGACATGACATCATCCCCTGTGTGGATAATCATGGGAGTGGATGTCATGTTCTGTCATGTGCTCTCAATTTCCCGATGACACAGTTGTATAACAGAACAATGTGAACACAGGGGTTATCAATGTGCCACAAAGACAGTGCATGCCCATTGCTGTGCCTACACAGGCTCTCTGTGAAACTACTACACGGAATTCAATTCATCTGGTCGCTTGTGGGGTTTCAGTTTCAATCTCTTTGTGGGAAAAGACTTTTGTCTAGTCTGCTATCTACTAATTGCTCTCTCATTGGCAAAACGTGTGAGTTCCATTTTTACCAACAGCGTGTTAATTGAAGAAATGCTTCGCAAAAGAAAAAGGGACTGATATTCATATTCACTAACCACACTGCGCATGTGGAGGTCACGTCTGAGACCATTTCTAACATTGTCTGTAAATATACTCAAGAGCAGCGGGAAAGTAAAGCTGCCACAGTAAATGCACCAAACTCAGTGATAGCACAGCATTTCCACAGATCCATGGTCTCTTACAGTCTTACCGTCCCAACACTAAATTTGTAAAACTGGCCTCATGAGGTTGGGAGACGCTGACGGCACAACCTGATAAAATATTCACAGATGCAATACTAGCAATGGCTTTTCCCCCGTTTTTTTGGAAAAGAGGAAATATGATTATACTTTAGGTCAGAAGTCAGGTTTCAAATTCCAGTCAGTAAGTGCACACAGCTTTTTGAAAGTGACCGTATAGATGAGGTCAAACTTTAAAGCCTTATTTATTTATTTATTTATCCTCTTTTTTTTTCACCCCTCCTCATCCTCACTCAAATGCAGACTAAGCTCCGCTTCTGGCTTTCAAACGGAGTGGACAGATTAAGCTGAGTTAGGTCTACTTTCCATAGATGTGTTGGCGTGGCACTTTGAAATCCACACTCTTCCCTCCGCTCTTTCTGCAAAAAACCAGTTAAGAGGTGACACATCTATGCTTCTTAAAAAATGGAAGGTGGCTGGAGATTAACAAACTGAGAGTGCCACCACAAAAAAGTCAGCTCTTACAAAAGGGGACAAGAAACATTGTTAACAACGGTGTTTCTTCCTCTCAGTATCTTCACACATGCCCACGATGTACAGTACATGTTGAGAGTGTTATTGTTTGTTATGATGGTGAAGATGATGAAGATGATGATGATGATGATGATGATGATAAAGAAGGTGATGATATTTCTGTGCAGCAACACTAGGATTTTAAGAAACAGGTTTTTGCTGTTCGGCTGAATTAATTCTTGCAGACGTGTATATTAAGAGTTGTTCAGTAACGCAAGCTTCAATCAGAATTAAATCTTAATCGTGCAAAATTTAACATACACGAGAAAATGTGCAGTTAAGAACAAAGTTTTAAGATTTGGGGGTGCATTCAGGGGTGTAGTAGTTTTTCGGTCTCAGAATCCTTCTTACTCCGAGGCAGTGAGACTTGATGTTATGTCTGACTATTAACCACATGTAGCTCATGTTGGTTGAGTATAAACACTTAATGGTGGAAGTGTCTCTAAACTAATGCAGGTGAAGGATTCGGTGAGTTATGAAAACTAATCTTCAAACTTTGTGCTGATATTTGTGTCTAAAAAGTTATTATCTCCGCTGAGGAGGTTATGTTTTCACCTCTGTCTGTTTGTTTGTTGGGTGGTTGTATGTCTGTTTGAGCAAGATCACAGAAAAAGAACTGGACGGATTTCCTCGAGTGATGCGGTATGCATCAGGGAAGAACCCATTAAATTCTGGTGTGGATCCAGGATTTTTGTTTTACTTTCCTTAACGTTGCACTTTTCGATATCTTCAGTTTTCCGAGGGAATAATAATAATAATACAAAAAAATTCATAGATCTTGATGGAGGCGTATTTGGAGGGCTGATATCTCTGAATCACCAGTACAGAGAAAATAAACATCACAGACAGTAAATCTGTCAATGAAAACATGTGGATGTGAGTTGTGTTTTTAAAAGAGTCAACGTCCACAACAGATGTCTGCGAGCAGCTGCTAACTTGATCCCATTGACTTTCATGTGTTGAAGCCGGTTGGGTTATAAACTCGTCATTCTGCCTCCAAACTGCACATGCAGACACGAGGACGACATGTGTGAATCTTTCAACAGGGAAAGTAAAAAAAATTCTCCCCATACCGAACAATGTACCTCTTTAAATTAACTTTAAAAATGAAATGTCACTGTCTCTGTGAGCGCATTATTACACCGGCTGTTCCTCAGTGACTTTGAGTGCCTCATTTCAAAAAATGGATTCAGTCAAACCAGAAATTATTTTAGATTCTTAAAAAGACACAACCTGGCAATATTATATGCCGAAGCACTTGTTCATGGACAAGTGCTGATTAGAGCTGGTTTCACACATAGCGGCATATTCCAGTTCATACATTAAGTCTTATCACAACATCACAACAGGAGAACAAACAGACAAATTAAAAACAGGAAAGAAACTGTCTCTTTGAAACATTTATTATGAAATTATAAAGGTAGAATAGCACTGTTCAAATAAAGCTTTTAAAGACAGAATAGGAGTTGCATTGTACGGAATAATTGGCAGAGTTTATTTCAGATGTAATTTATGTATACCCAGCAATGAAAAAAAAGAGAAGGAGAAAGCAGGGGGCAAATAAATAAAAAGAATGAAAACAAGTTCATTATTGTTTAACACAGCACATTAGGCAAGATTACCAGGAGTTCAATTTACATGAAACATCGCATATATACAGGAAAGATTTACATCGATGAGGGTTACAGAGTCTTTGTGGGCTATGGGGCCCAGTGGCAGAGCAGTCAATGGCAGTCACATTTCAAGTCAAGTGCGGCTCTTTGCTGGAGGGCGGTTTTGGCTGGCAATGCCATTATCACAACTATTAGTTTAGACACTGGCACACGCTAGTGACAGAGCAGCAGCCTGTGTGTCACTTGACACAACAACCCAATGACAAGGACACGTCTCCCTCTGGGGTTGTCATGTCAGGACATACAGCACCACTTTGCCTGTCTTTCACACACACACACACATTTCTCGCTAATGATAAAGGGGGGAGTGGACGGTTAGCAGGAAAGAAAGTGTGACTACGTGCTGAACACAAAGCACCCTCATCTGTCACAAATGATCAGAACACAAAGCAGATCACACCCTCTGTGATTTAACATTGCATGTAGCGGCACTGACCCCGATAAAACATGGCTGAGAGGTGTGGGCCGGAGACGGGACCGGGGCAGGAGGGGGACAAGGGGAGAGGGTGGAGGGGCCGAGTGAGGAGCGGAGAGGGGAGATGGGTTGTTGGGAGTGGGGGTGAGGAGGGGGCATTCAAACAATGAAGTAGCATCATAACTTCATCTTTTTTTTAATATCATATTTGTTTTTTTGTAGACAAGCAAGCAGTCAAGAAACATTTTCTTCCACCCTCTACTCTTTATATTTGAGGTAAATCTGAGGGAATCCAGAAGCGATGTTGTCCTCGAGTGTTTTTAAGCTGCATTTTGTCGTTAGTTCTTTTTTTCCATCGTCGTGCCATGTTCGAATAAATATGGAGCCAGTATGTCAACTTGATTGATTGCCTTCGAAAAATGGGAAATGTGTTTTGTGGATTAGTGAAAACATTGAGATGAATTAAGTAGTGACAGTTCCACAAAAGCCACAATGACTTTGGTGGGTTTTTTGTGCATGCAAAACATTAATTTCACAAAGCAAACCCCCTGAAGATTGGTCATCAATCAATTTGCTTTGAGAAATTGCAGAAATGGATGATAAATTTGAAATGAATTGGTTGCCAGCCAAAAGTGATGGACAAACAACAAACCAAGGAAGCAAAAAGAAGAACTTACCAACACACACACACACACACACACACACAAGGCCTTTTGATAAATGACATCTGTCATTATCAAAAGTTGTACATGTGAAAACAATGATGAGGAATCTCAACACATTTTAAAAAAAATGGTTAAGACGGAAATTAAAATGATTTTAAAATGATCAAAAAATCAAATGTAATTCCTGGTAATTTGCCTTCGTCTGTGTTTTTGCAGGAGAAAAGAAAAGGCTATAGATAAATAAATAAATATATAGATATTAAAAATCAGTAGCACTTTTCTCAACAGAGGAAAACATATAAATGAACTCCACAGTTCAGCCAGTGTACCACCACAGGGCTTTGATTTATTTTGTTGTTTTGTGCAGACAAAACTGGATCCCCCTTGGGGCAATAATCTACTCTGGTAGTACTCACAACCACTACCTTAGTATAGCCCGCAATCCATTTCATTTCCTTTTACCCGCCTAGACATAGAGGACATGACAAGTTTTTTAAAGAAATACAATGTTCTCTGCAGTAAAGAGCCCAGCAAATCTTCCACTGATGATTTAAAGCTTTGATAGAAACTTCACTCACAGACTTATTGGCTTACTATCTCCCCATGGCTGCGTTTGTGTTGAGGATCTGTTACATTTTACTCACTCAGAGCATACAGTAGTCAGGTTATTCTTCTTGCATCTACCCGCAGTTTGCTTCATTATTAAACTGATGTTGGCAACAGACCCAATTGTAGACAAGACAGAATTTGCTCAAAGACTTGGTCAATAAGTGTTTTTATGGTTATTTATCCAGTTTGAAAAATGTTTTCCTTAACCGTGCATAAGATTTTACACCGTGGTGTCCGTATTTTTGAGAAAGATTTAAATCCACTGGAACCTCTTCAGAGGAGAGCATCATTGACGTGTACAGTGTAAGAGATCACAAGCGCCGTCTCGCTAAGAAGTGACAGGACAGCTGAGGAAAAGGATGTATGATCACAGTCGGCAACAATCACTGGTCTCTCTCCATCTTCCTCTTTCATAGCGCCAAACTCTGTGTCAGCACAACCCAGAAGATATTGCAACAGACTTTTCCCCTCAGGTGCAACATTGTCATAGTTCATTAATCTTCTCAAACTTCTCCTGCTGCCATCAGCCCCCGTACGTACTACTAATCCCCTTATTAATGTGGCAAATGAACCTGCACAAGAAGGACGACTCCCCCAAGGCTCCATAATTACAATGGTCTTTACAAACTCCTGTTTGCATAGAATGTCCATTCATTAAATGTACTGACAAGACATCTCCAGGAGCACGTTCCTCCTCAAAGGTCTTTCTCATATCGTTTACTTTAAACTGAAATACATCTACTGCATTTTTTTAAAGCAACTGTACTGCAATGGTCACAACAAGAGGGGGGATAATATGCGAGTCTGATGCAGTGAGACTGGACGTAATTCAAAGCAAAACATCTCCAGAATTATTTTGATTAAGTCAACCTGCAGTCAGTTGTTCTATATGTGCAGCATCTATAGTGAAGCTGCACAAAAGGGAGCTGTTATACTCTGTCCCTGGAGCTAATGCATGATTTGGGCTGTGGAGGAGCACATCAGAGCAGTGTGGGATAAATGAACTGCACGTACACGGCTCCTTTCAGTGCTCGCATCTTTTCTGCCAGGCGAGAAAATAACTAATAACCCACAGCAATTACGCCTTTTTTTCACATGAGATGCTCAGGCCACATAGTTACACAACTGAAAGCTCCACGAACCAGGATTGTGCTCAATGACATATAATGTCGATTACCATTACAAAGCGAGAGGAAAGAAGTTGCATCTCGTGTATCTGCAAGAATATACATATTAATCTATACACAGTGAGCGCAACAGAAAATATACAGCCTCGTTTTCACATTCAGAAAAGAGTGAGAAACTAAAATGCGGACAGTAATTGCATGATGTTTTTGTGACTGCCCTCAGTAAAAGAATGTTAACGTGTCCATAACATGAGCTCTGGAATGCAGTGCACAGGATACGGTTGATGCACAGCCACTCATGGGCTCATGTTATGTGAATCAACAACATCTATGTGAAAGACGACCGAAAGGAAGAAGTCAGAGTGATGGTGAAACGGCGAGGATTATACTCGGTTTCTTAGATGCTTGTGTTGCATTGTGAAACTAGGACAGTGTTTTCATGCTTTTTTTTTTTTCCCTCAGTGTTGTTTACACTAATGTAGGTCCCTGGAGGGTAAATAATAAGTGGAGGGAAAAAAGAAAGCAAAGGGAAGGATTGCTCCTAGTGCTATCAGCAAAGTTTGGGGTCTCTATAAAAGCTGTCATGATTCCAGTCTGTTTGTCTGTGATGACACCGTTATGTCTACTGCTGCATTTCTATTTCTCCGTGTCCTCTGAGAAGAAGACAACACTGACAATCTTCATCCTTTGCTGTTGTTCTTCACCTCCTTCCGTTCTGCTCCCTTGTTTATCAATTTCCTTTCAGTTTTCTTATTCATTGATCGCTGCTGATGTTGCATAGACTCTCGAGAGCTGGAAGAGAATGGCTTTTCGATTTCTACAGAGTGGGTCAATTTCGAAAGGTTTTGACTGAGCTTTGCACACCATTGTTTTTTTTTTATGTCCTCTGTCAATTAATTGCTTATTTCATGTCAACTTCTGGGCAATAATGTGTGATTGATATTGGTTTGTTGCTCATGAGGCAACAATGCAAGTGGCAAATTTCCACACTGTCTATAACTGCCAGTCTTTTGTTGATACTTTAAAAAGTGCAACAATTCAGCATCACTGGCTGCAATTTCGATACAGTCCATAAAAGCACATTTTAGAAATGAAGAATAAACTAAACGATATTGACTTTTTGATCTATGTGTATATAAGGAGCCTGTTAATATTGCAGTTCTTATCTTTTTTTCAGAAGCGCTTCTTCTCTGCAGGGAATATGATATGATAATCCAACGATATTACCTTTTGGATATGTATACTGTCTGTATAAAGATTCACTCAAAGGTAATTGGTATTTTTGGCTTTTCCTTTTTTTATTTTTATTATCCTCTCTGTTTTTTGTTTTTTACTCAATATGCCAGGAGATTTAAAAAAAAGAAACTGGATACACTGGATGGGCATCTACCTATCAATGGTCATGAAATGGAGATGACATGCACATGTCAATACAAACAGTCGCACTGTACAAGAAAAATCAAAATATGGAAGTAACAATGACATTGATAACATACCCTGCCTATCCAGTAAATCATGCCCATGGAGATATTGATTTCCTCACTGTCTATAACTGCCACTTAGCCTCAAACATGGGCTCATATTCTATGTAAGTTGTATTTGGAATTAGTTATTACTAATAACCAAAACCAAATATGCCTGAAGAGACTTCATTAAAAATATCCAAAGACAATTAGCTAAGAGTGGTAAGATAAATTACTTTTTTTTCTCCTCCAAGTATGGAAACCGAGATAAGGAAGTGTACCCTTGTGTGCAGTTGAGATATATTAGTGCATATTTATTTGAGTAGTTCAAAGGTATTGCTACTGTGAAGGATATGCTTTCATTAATATACAAATATCATACAATTTGATAATGACTTGAATTTCATGGCACGATTGTAAGATATGATTTTCACGTCGCGATGACAATATTGAATGAAGACTGGCGTGACTGAAGTGCTTTGTGTGGTAGAGTTAGACTGAGGCACAACTTGAGCTCTTCTACAGTAAGATTTACATTAATGCTATACATACAAGTACACCGAAAAACATTTTTGACGACCACGTGTTGAGTGAGAGTATCTGCAGCAGTGCATCATTTATGTCATCGATGGCACTATATGGAACAAGCCGCCTCTGTTTGTGTGCTTCTTTGAATCATTCGTCAGAATTATTGATTACAATAAATCCTGTGTGGAACTGTGGGATGACTGAGCAAATCAATGAAGTTGTGCTTACAGTACGGTGTCATATCTCATGTGTCCTCCTCTGGGGTTGAATCCCCTCGGTCACCACCATCACCCATTTCAACTCCTGGTCTATTCCCTCTCTCTCTCTCTCTCTCGCTCTCACACAAACGCACACACAAATAGCGGCAGAGTGAATGCCTCTTTTGACTGCTACCTCTCACACAGAAACACATTAAATCCAACCCCAGATGCAGTGACCCGGAGGTATGCATCGATAGGAGTCGCACGGTGTCACCCCTGTAATTCCACTCTCCCTTCCGGATAGATCTTATCACTCAAATCTCTAACCGCCATTATCAATCTTCCCTGTGCAGCCTCCGCATCGTTAGACGAGAGTATTTCACTAAGAAGACCAACAAAAGGTTTCACTCCTTTCTTCTCATCCCTTGCATTTCTAAGTCCACTGCAGGTTGGCGTCGTGCCAGGCTGTGCCATGCAGCGCAACACTGCCACCTAAAGGTTCAGTACCACCTCCCATCAAGCCTGACCCACTGACGACGCTCCAACTCTGCCCCCTTTTCTCCCTCTGCTCTCTCGCTCCCCCATCTTCTCTGCTGCTCCCTGAATTTGTCCACGTGTGTCCCATTAGATCGGAATTAGCTGTGTGTTGGTGCTTTATTAGCAGAAAAATTAATAAGGCTCTGATAAAAAAAAAAAAATCAGCATGGATTATGTTGAAATTTGAGGCTCATTATTGGCTAATCCTTTTTGAATTGGATGTGTATCAAGTTGCAGACAAGCTTCACTCAGTTCGCTCGTGCGCTTTGAGAGGAGGCATTTAATTCAAGCTCAGATGATGTAGCAAAGCCTACTGTGACATTCACAGCACCACCACGGCAGACTAATTGTTGACTGTTATTATTGCTGCAGGTGTTGAAAAGATTACAAGGTTGTTTTTTTGTGGTACAAGTCACCAAGAGCGAAGAAACAAACAAATAAAAATAAAAAAACATGAATACACCTGATTTATGAGGAGAGGTGAAAAGTCAGCTATTTTGTTCATTTTTGGATTTTTTTTGTTTTTTCTGGGAGGATGTGTGCAGCGTTAACCATGATGAAAACAGTGATCTGAGTAGATAGGCAAGAAAAAAATGTTTCTTTCACAGAGAACATTGAGTCACAATTAATGTTATGGTGGTACATTTAACCAGTGATCTAACCTGGTTGCTGAATAGACAAAGTAAGGCAAGGCAATCACTCACCAACTTGCATTTTGTTAAATATGAATTAATAAATATATATGAATGACAAAACATCAGTCTATAATTATTCCCCCCAAATTATGCTTGTGATTGTTGAGTCCATAATCAACTCCATTACTTAGCAGTTGTTCAAGTAACTCTTCCTCTTTTTCTTTTTTTTAATTTTAGAAACAGTGGAACTTGCTGAAGCAGTATGTCTCCTGTATTTTTTTCAGATGCTTCACAGTAACTTAGAGCGAGTCTCTAATCTAGACTGGCACTTTAGCACTGTGGAACAGGGCAGTTATAGGCAGTACTTATAGACCAGTAAAAGTGCTCTTTTACCTGCTGTCTGGTGTGCATGGGGCCCTTCGTCTTGAACCCTCCTTGGGAGCTGCACTCTGAGGCACTGAAGTGGTCGGAGCTCGTGGAGGACCTCTTGGAAAGGGTGTCACAACCCCCGACAAATGTGTTATCCAATGGGAGCTCCTGAATCACGTGATGCTTCTTCACCGACACCGGCGTGTCAGCCTTGAGGTGGAAGGCCGATTGTGGCGAGGCAGACTTGTAGTGCCGGGCCAGGTCGGGACTGCTGGGTTTGAAGGTGGTGGTAGGTGTGGCATTCCAATCAAAGCGTCCAATCCCTTGCTCCTCCAGCTCGGTTGGCAAGCTGATGGTTCCGTTGATTGGCTCGTGGGCAGGATCGTCGGGTTTGTTCCCCTCAATGGTGACAAAGTTGAGCAGGGAACTTTTAGGGGATTTCCTTTTTTTGCGCTTTTTCTTTTTGTTCTGCTTGTTCTCCGTGTTGGGCGACATCCACTCAGCTCCCTGTTTTTTCCTCTGTGCAGCTTTAAACCTCGATGCATGGCGACAGCGCAGCAGCACAGTGACAAAGATGACAATGATCACCACAAAGGCGCCAGTGACAAAGGCTATCATGATGGTTAAATAGTCACCACTTTGATAAGTTTCGCTGCTTTCCCCTATGTTTCGGTCTATTGGGGTTTCCATCGTGCGTCGGATGAGATCATATATGAGAGTTGAGTTCCCCACAGTGTCATTGACGTACAGAAACACCAGCACCAGAGTATGGAGCGATTTAGGATATCCCAGATCACTGATATTGACCACTAATCTGTGTAAGCCTATGTCAGTCACCGCTGGCTTCTCCTCCAGAGTAATATTCCCTGTGACGGGGTCAATTCTGAACAGACCTTTGTTGTTTCCACTCACAATTGTGTATTTGAGTTCTGCGTTCATTCCAGTATCCCCGTCAACAGCGAACACTTCTGCTACCACAGATCCAGGGATCGAGGAGAGCGGAACAAGCTTGAAAGATGTGTTGGAGGGGGGGTAGATGACGATGGGGGTGTTGTCGTTCACGTCAATGACATTGATGGTCACCTTGGCAGCTGAGGAGCAAGGGGGCCTGCCACTGTCCACAGCCCTGACATCAAAAGTGTAGGAGCTCTGTTGCTCCCTATCAAATGACACATTGGATTTTATCACCCCGGAGTAAGGATCCAATATAAAGTTCTCATTGTCATTCAGGATGGAGAGAGAAACAGCAGCGTTTTCTCCAGCGTCTGAATCTGTCACAGTTATCACACCCACAGTGCTGTATTTAGGTAGATTCTCAGACACAAAAAACTGAAAGTGGTTATGTGTGAACTTGGGGTTGTTATCATTTTCATCCAGCACAGTTACAATAACAGCTGCTTGTGTTTGCAGAGGGGGGGTCCCGTTATCTCTTGCCGTTACAGTAAAGAGAAACCTGTCCTGATCCTCCCGATCAAAAACCCTCGACGCAGTCAGCACCCCTGTTTTGCGGTCGAGATCGAAGAACGACGCGTTCGGTCCTAGCTGATAAACAATCTCTGCGTTTTTGCCGCTGTCCTCATCTGTGGCGCTGAGCGTAGTGAGGAACAGGTCACGTTTGTTGTTCTCCATAACAGCCAGCTCAATGACTGGCTGAGTAAAAATAGGTGGGTTGTCATTCTCATCCTCCAGCCTCACTCTGACCAAGGCAGTCTGATTCAAACTCGGTTTCCCGGAGTCTGACGCTACAATTTTAAAGTTGTATTCCTTGGTCCCTTCATAGTCGAGCAGCGCGGATGTCTCCAACAGATACTGGTTGTCGTACACAGCTTTGAGATGGAAGGGCACATCCTTCTCGATGAAACAAATGACCTTGCCGTTAATGTCGGTGTCTTTGTCTGACACTGTGATGAGTGCTATCTTAGTATTGATGGGATCCTTCTCCGACAGGAAAACAGTGCCATTAATGGGACTGATTATGTACCTCAGGTCTATATTAGGTGGATTGTCATTAACATCAGTCACATTTATGGTGACAGTAGCTCTGGCAGGACTGGAGCTGCCATCACTGGCTAAAACAGAGAGCTTATGTATAGCTGTCTCTTCTCTGTCCAGGGGTCTCTGCACTGTAATTAGGCCAGATGTTGTATTCAATGCAAAGAGTCTTTTTGTAGCAGGAGACACCTGAGTCCCAAATACATAACGTATCTCTGCATTTGCCCCTACGTCTGCATCTGTGGCCAGAAGCTGCACAACAGACGTGCCAATGGCGGAGTTCTCCGGTATGTGCACCTCTATCTGATTCTCTTTAAACACCGGTCTGTTGTCATTGACATCTGTTACTGTTACTTGTAGAATGGCAGTGCTGGATTTCTGCGGACTGCCACCATCCTCCACCTTGATCTTCATTACATATGTATCCTTCTGCTCTCTGTCCAGATTCTGCTGCACAATGAGCTGGGGCCACTTCTCCCCCTCAGGCGTTTCTACTATGTCTAAGCCGAAGGCACTTTGCCCATTGATCAGCTCATATTTGTGGACACTGTTGGGGCCAGTGTCTGGGTCAGTGGCTGAGGGAATAGCAAAGCGGTTGTTAATGAGCGTGTTCTCGGGGATAGAGATGTTGATCACAGGGGACGGGAACATGGGGGCATTATCATTTGTGTCTTTGACGATTATTTTGATCTTAATCAGCCTGAAATAATCATTAGGTAGAATGACCACTTCAATTTCAAAAGAGCACTCGCTGTCCTCAAATGAGGGACCGGGGCACAACTTCTCCCTGTCGATTCGGTTTGATGTTGTGAAAATCTCCCCAGTGCTGCTCAGAACACGGACCAGTGGGTTATCTCCCGCTTTGGAGACGAGCCGGTAGACCAGATTAGCACTTGTTCCAGTGGCAGCATTTGTATGGGATATGTTTAGGTCCTTTGGTATGTTTCCAATGAGGACATTTTCTTGCAACTCCTCTCTGATAGGGTAGATTAGCTCTTGGGCTATCGAAGGATCGAGCCATATGCAGGCGAGTAGGGTGCCCAACAGGTAATAGTCTTTTAGATCCATGATAGTGTAAATGTGCTTCCAGGCTGCACAGCTCGGGAGTTTCTTTCTATGCTACTGATGTTACAGGCAGTGACTCCTTGAATGTGACGACAGGAATCCTCCACAGATTAACCTACAAACACACAACAGGAGTTTCTCTTCAGTGAAATAACTACAACATGCACAGAAATTCAATTTGACAAATAATAATTAGCTGTTGGGGTCAACCCTGATTTTTTTTTTTTTGAATAATGTACTATTAAATCTGGACATAGGCCTTAATCAACAATAAATCAAAGAACAATTCAACTAAAAAACATTGCAGCAGCCTTTCATGTCTGTTTGCCCCATATCTAAATCCTCCACATTTTATAGTCACTAAGAATTTCCAGCACTTCGAAAGCCCGTGGCCACAAAACTTCACAGCACATTGCACAGTCCTATTAATTTTACACTTAAATTGCCAAATTTAAAGATGATGGGCTGTGCGTGTGGGGTCCTAAACGGATGAATACATGAATGAGTGAATGAATGAAGCCTACAAAAGGAGCTCTGTCAGATTTGTGAATGTTTTGTGTGATTTGAGACCGATTCTCATTTTACATACCAAAATCCGTTCCAGCTCAGGAGAAAAAACTGGAGTGAGTCAGCTCATAGTCTTCTCATCCTGTGCGCCTGCGAGCTTAATCTGGTAAAGATATCCTTCTCAGTCAGATCTGGGTCCAGGGAAGAGACGAGCAGAGTAATCAGACTCAGGAGCAGGTTTCAGGTGAAAACCGGCTGGTCGCACAAACTGGGGTAAATCAGAGGCTGCATATGTCGCAGTTCCTTTCCCCCCATTGAACTTCAGGAATAAACAGGATCTAACTGTGCGACCTGCGGTGATTGCGGTGATCAGCTCTCCAGCAGACAGCCAGGTGGTCAGTGGTTTGCGGTGTCTTCCATTAGGAACGAGTCCCGAAAATCAATGCACATCTCCCGTTACACGTCCCGGTTTGTTTTATTCTTCTTCTGTCCCGTCCTCTCCCTCACGGGCTACCTGTTAAGGTGAAGGCGCCGACGAGATGAAGGCAAGAGGAGACACTCGCGTCCCGTCATGTCTCAAGTTCACACAGCTCCATTGGCCGACGCAGACACAAGGTTAAAAAAAGATCATGAAGGCATTTACGCAATTTTTTTTTAAAAGAACAGGAAAAAGAGGTGTGAAATCTCAGAGTGGATCCCGTTTGGAGCTTTGGATGAAAAAAAAGGTGGCTCAGTGTGGCACCGATGCGCAGCGTCTGTGCGCCGTTTATCCTTGCGCTCTCACTCCCAGAGCAGAATATCTTGCACTAACTCTCTGTAAACCCATAGGAGGGGTGGTGAAGTACACCACGCAGACGTCCTCCCCACCTCTCCTCTCTGCTGCCCGACCGACCCTCCTCATTGGACGCCGCCCCTCTCTCTCAGTGGCGTCGACGGGCCGCGATTGGGCCGCAGTCACGTCACTTAATGCGCACAGGATGGGTGGGGGGGGGGGGGGGGGGGGCAGTCCGCGGAGAGATGCTCTGCGAAGATGCTGCAGGCTGCGGAGACGCTTTAACCAAAAAACCCCGAGGCTGGATGGAGGGGAGGGGGGGGGGCGATGATGATGATGATGATGATGATGGTGATGATGGTGATGAAGCTGCGAGTGCTGATGATGATAATGAAAAAAAACAAAAAAAACAGGAGTCGCTGTCCTCTAGCTTTTACAGTGAGAAAGCTCCGGCTCTGCAGGGACGCGTCAGAAAGCAGAAAGCCAACCTGTTAGGCTGTCGTCAGGTAGGCTGCGCTAATTGGGGTGGGCACAAAAAAAGACCTGAGCCGCATTTGATGAAAAAGACGCACAGCAACTGACTTTGGCCAATATTAAACACGCTCACACACTAGCCGTGTTTGAGAGTGCGTAATAATTGCGCACCACACAGAGGAGCCGTTGTTGGCACCGGGGGGGGGCACAGTACCGCTCTGTCCGCCACACGTGGAAACCTGTATTTGTCCCTCAAAGATATAACCTTGACAGTTCCCAGCCTTGAGAGCCGTGCAGCAGCAGCATTTGGTGCGTAATGGGTCAAAACTGCGTCTCTTTCTTTGTTAAAGTTTTCTGCCTCGCACCAGAGCTGTGGTGATCTGTAGAGGCTGTGATGTGACCATGGAAATAACCTGCACACGAGCTTTACTTGACAAGTTTCAGCGCAACAAGAGGAGGCTGATCCCCGCAACACGACTTAGACCCCCCACCAAAAAAATGGCGCGTCAGGAGTGACAAGAGGTAACGAGAAAAACAGCAGGTTTAATAAAATGGGGAATCAGAGCAACAGATCCAGCCGTCATTTACTGTGCCATCCAATCATTACTTAATTTCAATGCTGTAGATAACCCTCAATTTCATCCACAGCTCTGTCTGTGCTGCAGCTGCTGAGGGAGGGAGAGGAGCTGCTGAGCTCACAGGCAGCTCATGGTGAACACTGCCATCTTGAGGTGGACCTTCACAAATGCCTGGATCTTTTGGTGTGGCCCTCTTCTTCCAAATCTTCACCTACAGCTCCACATTTCTCAGTCAGAAGATGACTCGTGAGAAGCGGAAAAAACGGCACAATGGTTGAATCAGTGAAAGGCAAAGTGACAAAGTGGCGAGAACGAGGCTGATGGTGATGATGGCGATGCAGAGGACATGGGGAGCGACACCGTTGTGGTGAGAAGGAGGTGGCAGACGTCTCCTGAGTGGCTGGACGTTTTGTCTGGTCAGCAGTCCATTAGCACAGGCCAACCTGGTGGCCCGACCCCTGTGCTCCTTGGCCCCAGCCGTTGGTGTCCTCTGCTGAGAGAGAGTGCAGCGACCTGTCACTTCAGGTTAAAGTCTGACACGTCGATGTGGAGGATAAAGTGACAACATAACTCTGAACAGTGGCAGTGGTGAAACATTTTCCTGCTCTGCTGGTCGGCTGCAGTTATTAGTGGCTCATCACTTGCTTTTACTCACTCACTGCGAGGACACGAGTGTTAGTGTGTGTCAGGGGGTTTTCTGCAAAGCAAGACTTATGGTTTGATTTGGTCGTAGCCAGGTCTCTGAGGCCTTCGTGGTGGTCGGTACAGGGACAATTGTGCTGTGATTGGAAGTGCTGGGCAGAAAGTGCACTTTAAATAAATGTATCACCAAATCTCTCAAACCTCTAAAGATGGAAATGGTCATTTAGTGTAATGTATGTTGTAAAATCTCATTTACTGCACCTTAAAGATAAGTTTCACTTAAAAAATTTAGCATTTTTGGAGGCTGATACTGAAATATCATATATTTTTTTTAATTGGCAATTATTTCTAACATGTTGTCTTCAAACCCTCACAGCAAAAATTATTGCTTGCTTTACAGTTTATCCATAAACCTTAAATAACTATAAATTGGAAAGGAGACACATACAACCAAATATATAGAATTGAAATTAATTCATACATGAAATGTAAAAACAAATGCATATCTTTTTCTCATTGTGTTGCTGCGTGTCAATTAATAACTCTGTAACTGTAATCATCATTATTGTTGTTATTATTGGTTTCTGCTGTGATTATGTTTCATGTGACCTTGGCTCAAATGCCACAATTGGCTGAAATTCACAAATGCAGCAACCGCTCTCCTCCTAATTCCAAATTTACACCGTCTCTTAGGTTTGTTAGCTCCTTATTTAGTCTGTTTTGACCTGGATGCAGCTAATGTTTCTGCCAGTCAAATTACTGACAAGTGATGAATAATGTAGTATGCTAATATATGCTCTACGTCTCCTGGTGTACTTCCGACTATCTCGTGTCGAAGAGAGAGCCTCAGGGAAGTGTCCAAACCTAAGGCTTTATGATTCCCCATATACCAGCCGCAGTCAATCACACTACTCACCTTGGTTTGATTCTCACGCTGACTTATTGACTTGTTCGTGCTGTTGAATTGGCTTCATGAATAATACAAGGAACAAATATATTTATCTTTCATGTCCATTAAAGTACAAGGTCAAACGGGTAATTTATGTATTTTCTAACTTAAGCAAGGTCCAAGGAGTCGGTGCCGGAAAATTTAAACAGTCTGTGTCACAACTTTTAGTGCAGTTACTCAGCCGGGGAGCAGCTAACATGGCTGAAGGCTGGAGCCAGTGTGGCAGAGTGTTAAGGAGGAGTTGGTCATTATTTCTTGTTATAGTTATCAACACATTTTTTATTTTGCAAGTTTTTACGTCTGTATAAAGAAATGATTTGCTGTGTTGTCACTTGGATTTGTGGAAACGCTGTCACCTCTCAAAGCATCACAGAGAGAACACTGTTGTTGCTGGATCACAATGTTTTAATAGCAGAATTGAAAGAGAAAATTGTTCTCCTCACTCTTGACGATATTGTCACCAAAGATATTGTTTACAGCTGTGATGGAGTTCTTTGAAAACACCACATTTTTGTTTAGGAGAAAACGAATTACCGAAATTCAATAAATAATAAAGTGGATGCACAAGTTACGCTTCGACATAATTGGGGTTATTCTCTGTGAGAGCCATCAGTTGTACAGGTGAAAGAAACTCTTTACTGGGAGAAAGATGTTAAAGCCAGAGCTGCAACCACATTTAAATTCACTATAGATCTGGATTTTTATCAGGATCTGCACCACACACTCATAAATATCAGGCGCCTGATCATCCCTGATTTTTTTCATCAAGATCCATGAATTATTCTCTCAGAAATCAACGAAAATATTGCAAAATGCTCAATTTTGCATCGTTAAAGTGGGAAAAAAAAATCCTGGATCAGCACCCAAATTGAATGGGTTCTCTTCTGACCCACAATGCATCCTTCCATCCTTCCGTGTTAATTATTGCACAAACTACTAACTAACAGACAAACAGACATAGACGAGATCGTAACTTGCCTGTACTTAAATGTAATTGTGATTAAGTAAATTGGCTGTACTTGCTCTTAATAGATTAAACTGAATGAAAATCTTTAACTTCCCTCCTGCCAGCTGAGTGAGGGTAAGCACTCATAATATATGGCAACAACAAAATCTTTTGAACAGCTTCACTCATGTCCAAAAGTTTCCTGTTATGTCCACCATTTTCCTTCATCATCCACCTGCAAGTGCACTGGTTTCATTAGATTCCTGTCAATAACAACAATGAGCCGCTGCAACCGCTGATGAAAATTTGGCCTTTTCCCTTAAAACTGTGTGACTTCTCTGGAGAGTGGTAATGACCCAGTGGGTAATTGGCATCACACATGCTGCGGACCCTGAATACTAATCACAGCATCTAATCAGGCATCTCCAACTCAAAAGTTTAGATACATAAGAGTGAAAATTTGGATCAGAAATTGTTTTTTTTTTCCTCCCAGTTTGTTTGAAAGGGATTTCAGTGGAATCTGACTTTGAATTCCCTCAAGGAACTGATGTCACATCTTTCACTGAGGGAGTAACAAGGTACTTTGATTTGTTTGGGGACAGAAAAGTTACAGCTGTGAGTTGATAAAATAAAATGTAAACGCTTGCTCAAGGTAATTTTTGGATTCTCCATATGGAAACCACAAAGATAACTGGTGTTTTGGTGCTGTGCTTTTCAAATGATCGTAAACCCTGTTAAATGCACCCAGCACGTTCCTTTACTGCCTGACAGTTGAGAAGTATAATGGCATTTATTATTAATCTTCTGTACACTGATTGACATGTTTGATCAAAGAAGATATTCTGGGTTTCAAGATTTTAAGTGCAAGATATATCCCTCATAAGACACAAGTCTTCTGTCGTCACATTTTCCATCTGACTGTAATTTGCTCTCTGCCTTCGCCTCCCGTCTCTCCTCACTTTTTCTTCTCCCTGACACATTTGAATCACATATCACTTTCCAGACAGTGCTCCGAAAAAGGTCAAACATTCTCTCCCATTCACTTTTCTTACTGGTGTGAAAGAACAGAGGAAGAACTGACAGGCTGTGTAGTGGCTGAAATGGATCCTGGTCAAAACACTGCAAGTCGGGGAGGGAAGGTTGAGCCAAATCCTTCTCTCAATTCTACAGCTCTGCATTTGCTCACACACACCTACAGTGTATGTTCACATATTTTTAAAAAGCTTGGACAAACCTGTGAAGTTCATGCACACTGAACTTGTTTATTTCTAGCAGTAATTATGACTCTGCCAGTGAAGTGAGCTTGTGACAAGAGGGAAGATGGCAAGAAAATGCCTATATATATACTGAGAGTCTAATGTGTCATTCTAAAGGTCAAACTTCTACATGGCAATTTCTGTCATGC